TTAAGCAATGTATTTTGTTAAGTAATGTTATTTGCAACGACATAATAATTATAATAAAGTCACGCTTAAAATAAGCATAAGAACATTTTAGGTGAATCTGCGTTAATTTCACGTACTTTTCTTCAGATCAGATATAAACCTAAGCTTTAATCGATTTTTAATGAATAAAACTGTGTTCTTGGTTGAAAAAGGTTATATATATATATAACAACATTTTATCAATTAAATTATGTAGATTTCTTTGAATATTAGTTGATACAAATCACATGCAAGCGAAAGCAGATAAGAATATATTAGTTACCAACATTGTAGCATGATAAAGGCATTTGAACTATCTAAGTCTTATCATGAAGCTTGTATCGCCATTTTATATAATGTAGAAAGACATACTATATTAGTTGTGGTTACTTGTACATCATAATATTTTTTATTAAACTAACTTCCGCCTGAGTTCTTCCGGTTGGCTAACTTCTGGTTGTTCGTTCAATTTGAAATGGTAATTGTAAATGGTCAAATCAATAATTACTCTTCCAACATTATTTAACGTATTCCAATTCAAAACAAGGCGATTTGGTTCCTCTTTTAATGTGTACTTGAAATGCTACGATGAATAATCTAGTCAAATGTGGTATTCTAAAAAAGTCATAGTCTCTAACCATTCAGTTATGTGAAATAAATATTACGTTGAAGTTGCATAGAACACGAAAATGAAAAAGACTGCAAGACATTAGAGCAGCACAGCTTATTTCGTTGCAGTTTGTCCGAATCGTCTTAATCATGAAAATACTTACGACCTGGAAAATGTGTACCGATTTGTTTAGATATAATTTTTCATTTAAAGCCATTTATTTCTTTAACATCTAAGGTTCAACCGCTTATTAAGATTCTTCCAATGCCGTTTATTATTAACGAAACTTCTTCGGAGTTTTTTCCATTTTTTATTTTTCCACTCTTGCTTCATGATTGCTTCGCAACTTGTATCCTTCACTATCGACGAGAACTTTTATTATTATTGTGCTGATTATGTTTTAAATATAAAGAAAGATTTATTTTAAACTTGTTCATCTCGGCACGAAGTAGGCAATTTAATTTTACCAGCTGATACTGAATACAAATAAAATACAAAAACCATCAGGGCTTTTTAAATGTGAAATTATGATCTAAGTGGAGAGGACATTATTTATAATTTTCAATAGTGCTATTCTTTAAGTTACGTCGATAGCAAAAAATTAAATTATAGTTTTCCTCTGAGTTCAAAGTGATACAAGTACACTATTTATTTTTTCTTGCCCATGCTAAAAATATATTGGCATAGTATTCGTGAAAAAGACAAAAACTTGCGAGTTTTTCTCCATTGCTTGATTAAATAATAATATGACGATATAATTGACTTAAGTAATTTTTGCAAAAATACCGCGTATGATGGATAAACCAAAGTTGATCTTATATAAAATACTGTGATACTAAATTTTACTAGTACTTCCAGCATAGCTGCATTTTATCCATTCTTAAATATTCTATGATAAGCAGCAGCAGATAATAATCAATGACTATATAGGAAAACAAAAATTTTTAAATGGCATGCACCATGCTTGTCTACATTAGATTTTCAAATAAGAAATTTTACAAAGTAGATTAATACGTATGGAAAGGTGGGTATACCATTGGGGCTCCTCAAATATCATTTTTAATTGCGAAACAAAACAATAGGTTCTCGATGCAGCATACTTCAGTCAACTGATTTCTATTGCAAAAAAAGATAAAATATAAATTAAACTCTATAACACGTAGGCTAGTCGTCGGTATATTCAAGAACCAGCTAATAAACGTTCAACACGTATTAAAATACCTATCTAAGAACACAAAAATATAACTATGAGAATTTTTATTATACGTATGAGATTTTTTCAATTATACTTAGTTGGGAGAAAGATCCGATATATACAATAGAATGCTAGTCGAGTGCTCTACTCTTGTTATGGAATGGCTTTAACTATTCACCTACTAAGTTGGTTTGCCTATCGGTTCGCATACACATTATTTCATAATATAATTGAAACCTGTTTGGGAATAAATAGAAATAGAAATAGTAAATATCACAGTTTGAAATGGATATTGTACTTGCAAGTTTGACTTACATGAATAAGTATACAAAACAAAAGGTTGCTCAAATTGCAAAACACTTGGAAAGTATTTCTACATCTTCCAAACAAAAAGCAGTCCTGCAAACACACTTAGATGCTTATAGAACATGTCGGGTTTTATTATATCCCGCTAAACCAGTGATAAGAAGCCGCGTCGAGCCCCTACTACTATGATGTTCTAGACCAAAACCATATACCATATAGCATGAAGAAACTAATCCAGCGGTGCTGCAATTGTAGACGGGCAGCAATTTAACACAGATTATAATACCATTTGCAATTGTATGAATAGTCAGACTTGGTTAGCTCATATGCTTTACAATCCGTTCGGTGGCAACATCGATGGCAACACACTATCCATTTGAAGTTTTGGAAGTTGATGGACCGTAACCAAATAAATTATCTGAGACACAAAATGCTAATCATATTGCAGATCAAGCAGGGTGCACAAGATTGAATCTGGTTCGAACCATTCATTGTTGACTTTCTGGCTAAAAATGTTATAAAGCGACCACAAACATTATTTGGGCTTACCCATACCCATTAGGCATTGCTTACGCATATTTTACTAGGTTTGCGAAACGAATATAAAACTACCAAAGAAATAAACAGTATAATCATGCTAAATGGATTTCTATTTTCGAGCCAAAAACACATTTTTGTTATCATCAAATACTTATTTGATTCCCCCGAAACTTTAGTGGGTTTAGGAAATTAGCAATGCAGACATCCAAATATAGATGGCTTTTCTTTAGTTTATAAACAAGCCCGTATGTACCAGGAAATCAATGTATGCATAACTTAATATATAGAAATACACACTTATACGTAAAACTTTGTTCTTGAAAAAGATTAGTGCATATATCCACAAGATTTAAGCAAATAATAAACACCTAATATCTAAATACACAGAACAAACTTTAATAAAAACTAGGTTTACACTTCCTACACTTGAACTTCGCTTGTCCATGTTTCAAGAAATTCGCTTGGATAACGAATCAATAAAATTCCAAAATAGCAACAGTCTAGTCGGAAAATTACAAATTCTATTTGCAGCTTAAGAAATATTCTTTTAAACACTGAATACTTGCAAGAACGTCGAAATCAATTGCAGGCATCCAAAATTGCTCCTTTAGTTTTTAAAAAATCCGTATGTACCAGGAAATCAGTATATGCGTAGCTTAATACATATAAATACACACTTATACGTAAATCTTTGTTCAAAACTTGATCAAAATTTAGTGCAAATAGCCAGACGATTCAAATAATAGCGAGCAAAAGCATTGTTAACAGCATTTAAACATTGTTAAACATTTAAGTCGGCAAAAAGGAATGTATCAATAATTCAAACTTTTAAAATAGATTTTACGATGGCCTTTTTGTTTTATAATCGACTGTCAGCCAATAAAATGATCCCCACGTCATTGAAGACGAAACTTAAACCCTATAAGCCTATGAATATTTACACAATCGTTCGGTCTCCAACTAATGTAAATGAAATTTAATAAATTACCAATAATATATAGAGAACAAAACAGGCTACGATTATTTATTTACGAGCTATCATATTGAAACAGATTGATTGGGCATTCGATAGTTCAGATTACAATCGGGTTGGTCCATCCGTCGTTTGTAAGATATTGGAATATATTTGGATATAGGTAGGTATCGTACGTAGAGTCATTACAGTTATTTTTCAGTAAATGTAAGTACTTATACATGACATTGCATTGTATTGCTAATATCGATGGAATATTTTGTACTCTTATGTTTACTTATACATTAACTTACCTTTTGTAAGCGAAAAGAAAGAAAAATTAAATAAAATGTGTTAAATCTCCCACGATTTTTTGTTTTATATATTGGCAACTTTGAAACTTGTAGCTGGTTTCGTTTTACAAGGCTTATACATTTTTAGTTTATTTACGTAGCATAAGAATCCCTTGGACCAATCCACGCTGATGTAGTTATTTTCCGCGAAATGTATTCCGAGTGTTCATCTTGCATCTAAGCGGTGCAGCTAACTTGCCCGGTGAGTCCTCTGTTTCATAAGCCCTTCAAAGTGAACAGGAAACAATTGTAGATCCGAGGCGGCCTAGAGCGTTGATTTTCCACACAGCATGCAGGTTTCGTCGACAACGAACTTGTTGAATTTATTAAAACAGCCCGCTGCTAACGAAACCCGACTTCAGTGAGGATGCTTTGCAGTTGGTGCCCTCTTAAGTTGCAGTTGCAGTTGCAGTGGCAGTTGCAGTTATACACTATCGGCAACTGGCGCATAAATGGATTTCCTGCGGGAAAATAGAGAAAATTGTATGACTGTATACTTTGATGATCTCTGCCAACAGTTTATGTGAAGACCATTTGGGAAATCTGAATGTGCTAAAGGTGTGGACTCCGTTTCGCGATACGACGAAATACGACATACGAAATACAAAATATGCGCAGGTGCTGGCGGTTGTAAAGCAGCGACAAGCAAGAAAGTAAATAATTCACTTAAAAGCAAATAAAATGTAATTTACTTTTAACGGAAATGTGCTCAGGAGCAGGGAGGCGGAGGCACTTAATCCGGCAGCGTGGCAGTCATGCCTGTGTGCCGTATTGCTTATAAAATGCAGACAGTTCGGTTCATCCCGCCATCCTTGGGGCCAAAAAGCAGCAGAGGGCTACACAAATTGCACTGGAAACAAATTGGGACAGGGACTCAGTTTCGAAGCAGGGTTCCAGCTTAATTAAGTAGAAAATTAAAAGGTGTTTATACGAATCTGCGGGCTACGAACGAAATACGAGTATAGAAGTTTATTGAGCTAGGTAGCCCAGAGATTAATGTCAAAAACTTTGCTCAATTGCCACGGGCCAAACACACCGCACACTCACTAAATTTCTCTCATAGGAGCGTTTCCTTGGGAAATCCTATACAATGTGGATGCAACTGTAAGTCCAAAATAATCATAAGTAACCTCTTTAAAAGGCATATCGCAAATTCGATAGAGGCTGTCGTGCGTTTGCAAAAGGCGCCAAGAAAAGAACACCCGGGCGAAAGGATGGTGACGGTGACAATATTATGGCCAATGCAGACAGTCACGAAAGAGGCAACACATATTTGGCCCACGATGGTGCTGTTCAATTACCAACGGGCACAGATAGCGTCTATCTCGTCAACCCCTCGATGAACGAACTAATGCGAGCTATTCACAGTGCTTCCTCAATGGATTCACTTAAACGCGTCATTGTATCGCGACGCAGTGCCACGAGGAGTTTCCCTTTTCCCAGAACGTCCCATCTGCTGCCACCAACTAGCTTCCGCATGCGAAAAAGTGGCTCAAGTTGCCATCAAAGTGCAGGACTTACGCGAAGTGTACTGCACCGAAGACGGTCTTTTGATCATCAGTTGCATCAGCAACGAGTGAATGTGTCAGCTCAGCGGCTGTGGAAAGTGCACTCGGAGGGTAATTTGTTGGGGCCAAGGAAGCCGAATCAATCGGATTCGTCTGTGAATCTATGTGAATGCGCGGAGATGATCTCTAGAGAACTTTCGACCGAGGTGTTTAGGCCGGCACTGCCACTGAATAGGGGGAACTTGTGCTATTGGATTAGCTGGGCTCACCTGGTAATGGTGATTTCCTGCCTGCGCGGACTCTTGTGAACCAAAATTCAAGTACACAAGGCCTAAGCACTGCCCATTGGAGTCCATGTACTCGTAGAGCCCTTCGGCCTGCAGTGAAGTTGGTGCAATAAAGAATTCAGTTCTTACTGCGCACACCTTTCCCAATTAATCAGCCACATTAAACAGCAGCTAAGCACCCCAAAGTGAAGTGCTAGCACCCCAAACAGCACAGGCCTGCAACCCCAGGAACGAAATTGGCAAAATACAAGACATTTGCTTTCGGGGTATTTGCCTTGTCGTTTTCCTGATGACAGTTTTGTGGCGCAAAAGGCACATAAACACATTTGCCCGCCAGCAGGCGAGAGTGGCTTGTTTTCTCGGATTTCTAGTTGAAATCCGGACCAGCTAGTTGAAAAAGCTATATGCTCGAATCCGCCGGTCATACGTATCCGTGTCTGTTGGCCAGAGCGTGGTAATAACCAATTTTGCCAAGCGGCAACATCTTCATTCCCGTTCTGAGCACTCTGCAGTGCGAGCTATTAGGACTTTCAATGGTAATGGCAGCTAAACTGGATGAGGACAAATGTTGCAGTACGTTGCCCACACTCGCAAGGTATATCCAACCCCAGGACATGCAGGTTGAGCTCCAAGTATTCATACGCTTATTCGGCAGCGCACAATTGACTCACATCAACTGGTGTCACTGCGTCGTCTGTTATTTTGTGGTGCGAATAGGGTGTTTAGTTTTGATGGCTTTTGAAGTGAGCGCATAAATAGAACGAAAATGTAGCTCGCTGATTCGTGAATATGAATGTAAACCTCATGAGTTCGTATCCGTATCCGTATCTGCATATGTGTACGTATGTGCCATTTGATGGGTAGCTGTGTGTGCATGGTATTGGTACTCGGCAACAATAATAAAGTTTGCAACCAGCCACTTTGGATCTAATGCACTCAAAGTGCCATTAAAGGCTGGCCCTGGTCTCTATTGATCGGGGTGTTCTCTCGTTGTTCTCTCGGTAAAAAGTGACTAAATCGAATTATTGGACACAAAGTCAGATAGAACGGCGATGTTGCACTCGGCGAGCCACACGAGTATTTTTGTTTCGCTACAATAATAGCATAATAGAATTTTCAGTGCCTAATTATATTAAAACCGAGACAACCGCACCGAAGTTGGTTGAAGTCCACCAGCGACTGTTTAAAGCAACAAGTTGGTCCAACCATTGGCTACCATTGATCAAAAATATGTTCACCCTCTTTTTTGGGGTTCTATGGAACATGGAAACTTGTATAGTTGGTACTGATCGGTTTTCGGTTTACGGTTTTCGCATTAGCATATGCAAATCAGATTTTCTCATAAATGCCATTTGCGTCGATGCACGTACATGCGAAATTAAGATATTTCATGGAGATTTGTGTGGGGCGAGTGCTTTCTGCAGCTCAAGTAACTCTGATGAATGGGGCAAGTGGCAGGGTGTGTGGCAGGAAGACAGGAATACAGGAATACAGGAATACAATGCATCATTCGACGCACAGGTACTCAAAGTTGCACATGAAACATGCGGAACAAGAATGAAACTACATAAAGTTTATTGTACCTAATTTCATTTTATAATTTTTTGTTTTTGTTGCCATTCAGCGTGCAGCAACGGCGGTGGTGGTGGTGGCAACGGAAGTGAGTGCGGATGTTGTGAAACCTCTTTGTTGTGGCAAACACTTACGCACACCACCCAATGAAGCGGAAGTCGACAAATGTATCGTGTACTGTCACAGTCGCAGGAACAGTGTATATTTGCTGAGTGGGTAGAGTGTGTGGAGTGTGTTGGGTGTGTTGAGTGTGTTGAGTGTGGTATTGTAACACGCACATTTCCGGTGCTACCGTCTACTGTCGACGTCATCTGTTTGAGAATTTATCACTCGCTTTTGTTTCGACAGCCAAGTTGGCTTTTGCCTTGACAGTCGAAAATGTCCTAAAATGGGTCCTTTCTGTCCTGCCACCCGCCTTCGCCCAGAAAAGCCTTATCTCCTCGCAGTGAGGGGACTCTGCGATCCTTGGGCTATATCTGGTATGTACCTGCTTCGCTTCTGGGCAGCAGGGAGTCTCTGAAGCGAGTATCCAAGCTGTGCGTGGAAAACGAACCGTGTTAGGCGATCCCATGCCCAGTTGAGCCACAGATTGCCGATGGAGCCCACGGAAAGGGGATTGCCTTTGTATGGTGTACACCCAAATAAGTTGCTCCCTACCCACTCGACCCCGAACTGCCTCATCGCAGTGGCAAAATGCAGCCAGTAGACAGTAGACAGTAGAGAGTAGAGAGTAGAGAGGGTAGAAATCGCATTAAAGTTAGCCTATCCCCCTGATCGCACACAATTCCGCTCTGTATTCCAGCTCGAGCCCAAGCGATTGCCCACGGCTGCAACTCAAATGTGGTCCAATGGTCCAAGAGCACTGCCAAGGCAATAGACCATGACCGTGGACAAAAAGATATAGTTCGATGGCCGGATGGCCGTTTGTCTGACTGACTGCTTGGTTGGTTGGTTGCTGGTTGGTCGCTGTTCGCTGTTCGTTGTTCGTTGTTCGTTGGATGGCTGACTAACTAACTAACTAACTGACTGACTGGCGCTGTAATTGTGCTCCCATAGCAAGAAAGAACCCATGACATCCAGGAGTGGAAACATGGTCAGTGCCTGCTCATTGTGCCCAGTTCACAAAGCACCGCCTGACCGCTTGGCCGGCACAGTGGTCATACTCCACGAAGGTTAGCCCAGTAGTTTGATTTTCGAGTAGCAACATGAGTTAGGTTGCTTCATGTTTCCGAACGTTCCGAAGATATTTAGTCGGAGCCTGCTAAATATCATGTCAAATAAAAGGCTGATGAAAACAGCGTTTTCGAAAAGAGGCCATAACTGCAACCAACTTTTACATGAATTTTTCAAATTTGGTGAACTTCAAATTACGACATTTTCCGTCCAGTTTCTTAGGAGAATGTATCCCACCTGTTACGCCCTTTGGACCCTTCTAGTAGCCTGGCTTATAAGCACTTGTGATAAACACCTGTTACCATTTACCCCATAAACGGCATCTTGAGCAGTATCAACTGCTGTGTTTGAGCATTATAGTGCTGCATTGACTGTCGATTTCCCCATTTGGAACTAACTCTGAGCACATTTTCCACCACTTTTCGAACATCTTAAGAGGGTTTTTCTTACCGGCGATTGCTACGGGAAAGTACTGGGTAACTTGTTGACTTCCGTCCCTCCTTTGCGAACAGCTGGCAGTGCGAATGTTTCTAATATTATTGGCTCAAATAACTTACATAAAAGCACACGGAAGTTTTCCTATGCGTAGGAAAGAATATACGCCTCTCGAGGCATTTGATGCGGTTCACAAAAAAAAATGTTGGCAAATAAACACAATACTTTTTGTAAAGTAACTGGAAAAAAACTCGGTACGATTCACGCGAACTCGAAGCGTATTAAATACTTTTGTAGGCCAAGCGCGTTGGCATGTACTCGTACTTCCGCCTCGAACGTCCCGAATCGAATGAAGCCACAACTGATTCTCGTTCAAAATGAAAACTTTTTGCAGGCCAAGAGAAAGGCCAGTGCGATGCGATGCGATGCTTTTCAACCCCCGATTCCAGTGGGCGAAACAAGGGCTTGTTGTATACACACAAGCACGTATACGTACACGTCGTGTGTGAGCGCACATGCACTGAATAGGTGTGCGGAATGGGTGTGTGTGTGTGTGTGTGCGGGTGGATTGAGCCGAGCCGAACTGGGTGGCTGGGTGGGTTGGGCCGGGGTGGGTGGCTCGTCTGCCCCTTCCGCAGAGCAGCGACGCAACGTATCCACAACACAATGGCATTGCACTGCTGCTCCGCGACCCAGCAGCATCACTCTTCGTCGACCCCATCCTGCCGCTCCACCCAGTGCCACCCACACCCAGCTCCATGGCAGGCTGCCTCCTCGTCGTCGTCGTCGTCGTCGTCGTCGTCGGCGTCGTCGTCGGCGAAATCAGTGACACGAGCCGCTCGTCGTGCTGGCGGGGATTTGGCAGCGCTGGGCCATGACGATGCTCGACGATGTCGTGAGAGCGCACCTTTGAACTGCTGCTGCTGCTGCTGCTGCTGCTGCTGTTGCTGTTGCTAGTGCTGTCAGAGCCATCGGATGGCTGGATGGTCAGAACGGAAGGCAGCCGGATCGGGATCGGCGAGGGTGTGCCGGAGCACCAGGGCACCAGGCATTTCAAACGGGCACGTATAATATAGGTGTAGGTGTAGCTGTAGCTGTAGGTGTAGGTGTAGGTGTAGGTTAGGTATAGTATGGTATGGAAATTCATCATTTTCTTCCTTTTTTGCGTATTTTCAATGCACCAGCAGCAGGAGGAGCAGGAGGAGCAGACAACACTCGTCCAATGGTTGGAGAAACATAGCGTAGACGGCATAAATCTTCCCCAGCACTTGCTGCTGGCGACTCAATCGATGCGGATCTCGGTTTTTGGTCAGCCCTTATTCCGGGTGCACATATTCCAGATGTAGCATATTTGGCATCGAAAATGTAATGCAAACAAACCGTTTGAAATCAATGAATTGGGAAGTCAACTGGGCTGGCGAGGCAGCGATTGCAGCAGCAGTTTAAGGAGACTTTCCGTTAAGCCCGCAATCCGTATACAGCCGAAATTAGCTTATTTGGCCACCGTGCGGGCGGAGCAACAATAGCTATTCCGGCTGCAGTGCGAGCCCCAAAAATCGAGGCCCAGCCCCACGTACGATACTCCCCCGGCGTAATCCGCAATCATCCTCAATCGGTTGGCTGCCTCGCCTGCAAAAAGCGAAATTGAGGCATTTTTACCTTTTTATTAGTACATAATCATGGCGGGCGGGGGAGGTGGCCGTGGTCGTGGCAGTGGCAGTGGCAGTGGCAGTGGCCGTGCTGCGGAATCAATAGACCCAGCACATGACAATAAAAATTGGCTGTAGTGTAAGTGCTTTCTGCTCGTGGTGGCTAGTGCGACAGTCTGTCTGTCTGCGCTCCGTTTGCCCCCGATGTGCGTTGCTGGCCATCCGGACAGCGAGATTTAAAAGCGCGAACGGCACGGAACGGTCAGTGAAACCGAAACAGAAGAGCAACAGAAACA